GCTGTTCTCTCCCAAGTTTCTCCCACAGATCACTGCCTCCATTCCTGCACCTTCTTCTCCCGTTGTCTTTCATTTGCACAACAGAATTACACTGTGGGAGATCGGGAACTACTGGCCATCAAGATGGCATTGGAGGAGTGGCGCCACAGGCTGGAGGGTGCAGAACATCTTACAGTAATATGGACTGATCACAAGAATCAAGCACAGTGGTTCCCAAACGTATTTAGCCGCGCACCCCCTTCTATGTCCCGACCATGTCGACGCACCCCCAGCCCCCACATCAGGGCATGGCTATATACATAAGCTAAACAGTCACTCGACAGACAGGGTTAAAAAAATATGATCAACCTTTTTCCCCATCACTTTCATTTTTTAAATAGTAATTAATAAACATTCAATACCATTACAATTTCCTTTGATTTAATTTTAAATAAATATTTAGAGAGCCCAGGTAGCACATAAAAAATGCAATTTAACGGTTTTCTTAAAGCAGGAACGTTTAACCAGAGCTCTCTCCTTCTTTCTGCTCTGCGTAAACCTGAACTGGCCACCTACTTGTGCGTAATCAAATGTCTATAGGGGAAAAGATGGAAAAGATATAGCCATGAGGTTCACTTTTGCCTCAGACCGACTTATTGCTGTTTTATGGTGTGGCTGAATCTGCGATCCGCTGCCACGCGGACTGGAACAATAAATGCTGCAGTAACATGAGTTGTGGTCAGGTTCATGAGGAGTTACTGGCTGGAGCGGACTCGAATAACATACGTCATCCCAAAATAGAAGCTAATATCTTAATTTGCCGTTGAATGAAAAATGTTATAAAACCTCTTAAAAGTTTTTTATCACAGGGGAGGCAGCGCTCATTTCTGCCTTCAGTCTGACGGCGCGGCGCATGTGCTTATTGAGTCTGTGTGTGTGTGTGTGTGTGTGTGTGTGTGTGTGTGTGTGTGTGTGTGTGCGTGCGCGGCACAGCTCCATGAGCCGCTCCAGTCACCGCGTCTCGTTATTGGCGCTATTTAAACCAATGTTGTAAAATTACTTCTGCCCAGCCCAGAAGTGCTCACATGTGCACCCGTGAGCCGATCCGCTGGAATGCGTTTGACCTCTGACAGACGCGCTCTGAACTTCAGATCTTCAGCGCGCTGTTAATAGCCTGACACGTTTAGAATTCTGTCCCACAGTCAGTGTGCTAATATAATAATATAATAACGCTAAAATGCTCAGATGGGAATCATTTCTTGATTTATTTTGTTACATCCACAATGTTCTGTGTGTGAGGTTTACAATGTCAGAACACCTGCATGAGACAGGTGTTAATTACAATCTGCCAGAATGACTCACCACCTTCAGATTCCTCCAACACCGTTAAAAATGATCAAATACGGAACATATCGGCGTGCGCAGGCCAGAGTGCTGAAGCTCGGCGCATTGTTATTATGAAGCTAGGGCACATGCGGAGGACACACACACACGCGCGTGCGCAAAATATACTTGTTTTCAATTACATTTACTGGGCCCACTTACTTTTTCTTAGGCCCACCCACAAATGAGTTTCTGGCTACGCTAATGGTGACACATGACCATCGACATAAATATACGACAGACTTCTCTGAGCTCCGCAGCCATTACACTTTTCACCTCGCGCACCCCCTAGCGGCAGCTCGCGCACCCCCAGGGGAATCCCTGATAGCATATTTAAAGGAGGCTAGGAGACTAAACCCTCTTCAGTCCTCTTGGTCATTGTTTTTCTCCCAGTTCAACTTTACTATCTCTTTCAAATATGGTTCTAAGAACGTCAAGCCCGATGGCCTCTCCCGGCAGTACGCTTCTGATAAGGATACAGAACTCTTCACCGTCCTACCAGCCTCATGCATTGTCGGCTCAATAGCATGGGACATTACCAACAAGGTATTGGAAGCTCAACGTTTGGAACCAGATCCAGGTACCGGTCCTCCTCACAAAATATATGTTCCCTCCAGTACTTGTGGCTCCCTGATTCATTGGGCACACACACAGCAAAGTTCTCTATTCATCCTGGTCTTCGCAGAACCTTAACTCTCATTTGTAGGACCTTTTGGTGGCCTTCAATGTACAAAGATGTTAAGGAATACATTAGCGCCTGCCAGGTTTGTGCCAGGTTTAAGAGCAACAACCAGTCCCCTCAAGGTCTTCTCTAACCCTTACTGGTACCTCCTCTCCCTGGTCTCATATAGCTCTAGATTTTGTAACTGGTCTACCTCCCTCCAAAGGTTTCACTATCATCCTCACTATCATTGACCGTTTCTCTAAGGCCTGTCACCTGGTTCCATTAAAGTTCCTTCCTTCCTCTGCTGAGACCGCTAATCTGCTGATAAAATATGTTTTCCGGTTACACTGCATCCCTACCGAGATCCTCTCTGTTACGGCCCAGGGCCATTTGAGTTTTTTTCCCTGTGTGTGTGTGTGTGTGTGTGAGAGGAGATGCAGCACCTGTCTCCCATCTCACTAAATTGCCTCTCAGTTAGACTCTCCCAGCTGATCCTGATGATCAGCTCTGCCAGCAACATAAAAGTCAGCCAGCCCTCAGTTCAGGGAGCAGCAGGCCTGGGAGGTTCTCTCTGGTCTGCTGTCTCCTCAGCAGCTTTTGGTTTTGGTTTTGTTAAGTTAAAGTATTATGTGACAACTTTGGTGGGTGCTTAGGAAACTCTCTGTGTTTAATCGTCAGCCTTTTTAGGTGTAAAGGAAACTTTACCCCTTCGCTTGCTATAAAGAAGGCATCACTCAGTAAAAGGGAAATTATGTGATGGTCTTTCGTAGTTTTGGTATTAATTTGATTAATATGAGAGTTTAGTTGTTACTCGTTTTGCGTTGCTGCTGATGTGTCTTGTTAATCAGTGTTTTGTGTTTATATTTATGTAAATAAATGTTGTTTTGTTACTTTTAATACGAGAACATGCATCCTTAATTGTTACCCCAGGCCCCCTAGACAGCCTGAATTGTAACACTCTCTGACAGAGGACCTCAATTCATATCTCTGAATTCGCTGCCAACCTGGGGGCTCAGGTCTCCCTCATCTCTGGTTTCCACCCACAAACAAACAGCCAATGCGAGCGTATGAATCAGGAGCTTGAGGCTATGCTCAGATGTGTTTGTTCCTCCAACCCTTCTAGTTGGAGTTCGCAGTTGCCTTGGATGGAGTACGCACACACTTCCCACACCTCCTCCTCCACAGGTCAGTCTCCGTTTGAGATCTCCCTGGGGTACCAGCCCCCTCTGTCTCCCTTGGATTCTGCTTCTCCCATCACAGTGCCTCAGTTCCTCCGCAGGGCCAGGTGCACCTGGAATCAGACCCGTACGGAGGATCGCAACCGCAGGCTTGCGGATCGCCACAGACGTCCAGCACCTGCCTACGCTCCAGGTCAATTGGTTTGTCTCTCCTCCTGTGACATCATGCTCCGGAACTCCTCCAAGAAATTCTCTCCCTGTTACCTTGGTCCTTTCCCCATCGCCGCTGTCCTTGGTCCTATCTCCGTCCTTGCCCCCATCTATGAAGGTACATCCTGTTTTTCATGTCTTGTTGCTCAAACCTGATGTCTCCAGCCCTCTGTGTCTTCCTACCGACCCTCTTCGGCCAGTCCTCCTTGCTGATGGTGGTCTCGGCTACCAGGTCCACTGCACCCTGGATGTCCGGCCGCGTGGTTGTGGTCGCCAGTACCTCGTGGACTGGGAGGGGTATGGACCGGAGCACAGTCAATGGGTCCCTGGTTCCAAGATAGATGACGACCCTCATCTGGGACTGTACGGCCTCCTGTTCTCCAGTCTTAGTCTTGGTCTGCCTGTTGTCAAGTCCTGAAAGTTCCTGCTCGCTTTATCTTCAGAAAGAACCTACCGACGCCTGGAGTTGTCTGCCAACGTCACGTCGCTCAAAGATCCCCTGGCCTCTGCTCTCCACCGTCCACCCGTCATCCTGCCTGCCTCACAGCCTGCCTTACTGCCAGCCTTCCAGCCTGCCTCTCAGCTAGCCTCTCAGTCTGCCTCCCAGCCTGCTTCCCAGCCTAGTCCTGGATCTGAACTCCCGCCATTCGTCCATTTCCACCCAGTCCCAAAGACCCAGCAATCTCCTTGTTCCCAGACCTGACCCAGTCCATCCTCACCAGTCCTGGTCATGAACCATTCCGGTTCATCCGGTTCTCGTTTGGAGCAGCACCCTTAGTTTTACTCACCATTCTTAATAAAGATTATTATATTATTTTTACTTACCCTGTCTCCGTAGAGTGATTCTTTCATGTCTTGGGTGAAACTGCTTCCCACAAACATGACAATCAGATGAGACGACAACAAAGTCGGACATTTAAATATATAAAATAACTAAATAAAAGTATTTGATCACACTTTGATTTGTAAGCATGTTTTTTATATTATATTTTGACTTCCTCCTGTTGAAGACTAAACATATTCAAGCAAGTGAAGAAAGTAAAACGAGGGCAAAATACAGTGGTGGCTTATAACGCACATGAAAACAGCTGCATCATCCATTTTAATCATCAAAGCTAAAGTAAAACACATTTTATCCTCACAGACATCCAGTTCAGACCTCTTCTCTGCTTCTAAAGCAGTGGTGTTGCTCATTGTTCTCTTAATGTGTGTTTTGTCTGGATGTTTAATAAAAATACAAATATTTTATATATTTCTAACCTGATTACCATTAAACAGTGCTGCCCTGCCCCCTACTGGTGGAATTATGTGTCTGCAGGCTCCGTAAAGGGAACTCTGGATATTTTGGGCAAAATATAAGCTGAACACTCCTGGACTGATGCAGCTTTAATACAATTTAGCATTTCAGAACTTTTGTGATTTCAAAGCCAACCTAAAATAATCTTTATGATGATCTTTAGTATTTTTTTAACTTAAATCGTATTTCACCGCATCCTTTTTTCTGCTTTGTTTGTTTGAGGTGTGGCTCTAAAGTTTTCCTGATACATTTCACAGCTTTCTCTTTTTTGATAAGAACTCTGACTCACCAGATCTGGAACATTTCTTCTGTAACAAAAACCCTGCAGCAAGTAAAGCCATGAAACCCAAGGCGGCTGCTGCTGCAATATAGGTACAGATCCTGAAGACGTCGTTCATCCAGATGTCTGGAAAAAAACAAGAATCTAAGTATTGAAACAAAATTATTCTTATTGTGAAGAAATATGTTCTTCTTTGATCAAGTTTGGGAAAATAAATAAATCTAAAATGAATAATTTGTTTTTCCATCAGAATCTGAATGTTGATGGAGTTATTTACACAACTATGAGAATAAAATAAAAAAAAACTGTTCTAACATCTAAATAGAAGTTTTTTAGAATGAATATCATATTTGATTTTTCACACCAAATTAAACAAACAACTCCTGGTTGTTCAACTTAAAGGTTGATTTTAATCCAAACAAAAAATGGACTTTTCTGATTCGGAATTAAAAAATCTGTTATTACATATTTTGTTTTGTTTCGAGTTCAAATTATTCTTAAAATAAATATAAAGATAATGAATTTTTTTTTACCTGGGATGAAGATCTCTGCTGTCCTGCTTTGGTTCATCATCAGCTGGAAAACTCTGCAGATGACTCTTAAAAAAAACACGTAGGTTTTAGAGACGTTTAGTCATAATATTCAGTCATGGTCAGAACTTCCTTTTTTTCTGGCTTATTTGCGCCCAGAAAAGGATTAAATAAATAGTTAAACCTACAGGTGGCCCTCTAGCTCTCTCTAGTGGATTTTATGTGTAAGTGCATTTTGAATTTTAGAAACTCCTCTCCTCTCTGAGGCTTTAAACTATTCTGGAGTAAAAAAAAATGTTTTGATGTTTGTCAGGATAGATGAGGTTTTTTATTTATTTTTCCCCCGTGTCCTGTCTGGCTGTGAAGCAAACAGAATTGATGTCTGAATGCTGGAGACAAGCCTTACAGATTTTCTCTCAGGTGGAGCATCAAAGCGTCTGCTTTTAATGTCACTCCTGATACTTAAAACTTTATTGTTATTGTTTTTGAATGCTTTTTAATTCCGACCAGACACTGAGTCAGAGGTGAAAGAGAAAGGAAAAGACAAAAGGTGGGGAGGGGAGGGTCCACAAAAAAAATGAACAAGTCTGCTTCTAGACCTGCAGAAAAAGAAAGAAGAGAAAAAAATTGGACACACAACAATACAACAGGAGCAAGCTATCAAAAGAAGTCCCAGGAGAGGGGAGGAGTCAAAGGTCCCACCTGACATATACAGTCATACACAAACTCAGTCACACACTCCCTCCCTCATGCTCACACATGCACATACAACCAAAGACTTACAAAAATGCACGCCGGACACCCACTCATGCTCCCCATACACACCCTATTCACTCTGGTCCCGGTACTGCTGCACACTGGGTACAACCATCACCGGTAACCAGAGTTTGACCCTTTCTGCTGGGGTGCTGATGAGCAGGCTCCCCCGCCCAACGCTGAGCACAGCAACCCACCACCCCAGACCCCAACCAGACGGCCAGATCTCCCTCCTAGCCTCCAGCCCCAGGAAGCCAAGCAACAACAGAGGTGTGTTAAGACCCCTAGTGTCCCTCCGCCTGCTCCAATATAGTGTTAGTGTGTGTTGATGAGGTGTATTCCATGGTTGTGGTGAGCGGGCAGTGCGGGCATCATCCGGCCTATGCCAGCTGATGCCACCGCACCACCCCACTTGCACCCACAGCCCTCGGTGTCTAAGTGCAGTTCAAAATTGGAAGTGGGCACCGGCACTCGGGATGAGGCTGAGAAATCCCCCTGCCAACTGCCGTTGAATGTGCTCACTCCCAAGGCCCTAAGTGTGTGTTTGCGTGGAATGTCATTGGTGGAAGTGTTTAAGATGCAAATAAAATTGGGGGGCAGGTTGCCACAGGAATGCGGAAATGGGGTCCATACCCGCACTCCCTGACTTGTCCACCCCCCGAGGTCCTATGTGCATGTTTGTGTGATGATGTGAGGGAGCAGGAGGAGAAAAATATGCGGGGATGGGGAGGAATGGCTGGTTGGGCTTGGCCCTCCAGGGAGCCAGCTCCCCCACTGGCCCCAATAGGCACGTCTGTTGTCAAAATGCCACCCAGGGCATGGAGACCCCAGCCTATCTTGCCAGGGCCCAAAGCAGCAGAATCACAGAGCCTCACGGAGTCTGAGGGCACCAACCCAGCCCCACCCCAGCAGAATATCTACGCCCATCCCTGCATTTGCACAACTTCCAGTATATATAAGACATAGGACATCCAGGTAAGGTTGGGTCTTCCCCCTCCTGGACCTCCCCCTCCCATGTGATGGGACAGCAGAGGAGCCCAGGTCTACCCGAGGCCCCTGAACCCAGGCCAGGCACTGCTGCATATTCCTGCCTTCTTCCCGGCAGCATACATGTCCGGACCTGACCCTCAAGGCCCCACCCAGATCCCCACATGGGGCCGGCCACCCCCACAACCCGAGCCCCCAGGCCCCCACCCAGACCCGCTCTGGGGCAATGCAGCTGCCAGGCAGCAACCCATGGCCGCTGCCAAGACCTCCAAGGGGCCCCACTCACAGCCGCCAGTAGTCCACCCCCCGAGGCGACCCAAGCACCTCCAGAGGGGGGCAACGGCGCCCCAGTCCCAGACAACCCCAGTGAACCCACCTTCAGGGAACATCCGGATACTCCAAACTCAGACCCTCCACCCCCTCACCCACATCATTTCGCAGGACAGTATCAATGGTCCCCCATCATCGCTATGTGATGGAACCGATCAAAGGAGCCCAGAGAGATTGATTTGAAGTGGAAGCAGAGGCTAAATCAAGTGCAATATGATCTAACAAAAGATTTCTATACTGGTTAATGCAGAGAGTTTTTCTATTTTTCCTTTTTTTTTTTTTTTTTTTACCGTGTCCTGTCTGGCTGTGAAGCAAGCAGAATTGATGTCTGAATGCTGGTGACAAGCCTTACAGATTTACTCTCAGGTGGAGCATCAAAGCGTTTGCTTTTAATGTCACGCCTGATACTTAAAACTTTATTGTTATTGTTGTTGAGTGCTTTGTAATTCCGACCAGACACGGAGACCGAGGTGAAAGAGAAAGGAAGAGAAAAGGTGGAGAGAGGGGGGGGGGGGGGGGTGTTCCACAAAAATAAACAATGAACAAGAGTCTGCTTCTAGACCTGCAGAAAAAGACAAAAAAAAGCAAAAGGACAAAAAAAAGGGACACAACAACAATACAACAAGATCTAGCTATCACTGCGTCAACTTGATGAAAAAAAACAAAAAAAAAAACAATTATATACATATATATATATACATACACACACACACACACACACACACACACACACACATATATATATATATATATATATATATATATATATATATATATATATATATATATATATATATATATATATATATATATATATATATATATATATATATACATACATATATACACATATATATACACACACACACACACACAATCAACATTGCTTAACTGAAGAATCACGATAATAAATCACAATGCATTAAGTGCCCCCCATAGTCTTGAGACATGTGTTGAACGTGCCCAAGCCCATACTTTTGAGAGCACCATGTGAGCACCTGTGTGTGTACACGCGCTTGTTTATGTAAGGTTTCTCTATAGGAGCGTCCAACAGAGAGTGTGAGGGACCACAGATCCGCCCCCCAAAGATGCGCAGGAGACGGGGGGAGCTCCAAGTCCCAGAGATCCAGGCGTTGCCCCAGAACACAGGAACCCCAAGGAGACTGCAACCAGGAAGGCCCCCGCCCCCCTCGAGAGGCACAGAGGATCGCCCCGGGGGGCCACAACCAGCAGCCGGCAGAGTCCTGGGAGACATCAGCGGCAAGCCCACAGGCCCGCCCGCAGCCTCCCACCCCCTAGCCGGCCGAGCCCGGGACCCAGCGACCCGGGACCCAGGAGCGACCACCCCCGCCGGGGACCCAGCAGAGCCCAGGGACCCAGACCCCACCAGGCAGCCACCGGGATCTTTCAGGCAGATGCCAAAATCTTAAACCCTCAGACCCGGTTGCCACGAACTCTCAGGCAGACCATGGCACAAGCCCCCACACCAGGTGTGGCAGGGGGAGGGGGGACAAAGATCTATATCATCAAGAGAAGTTCCAGGAGAGGGGAGGACCCAAAGGCCCCACCTGACATATACAGTCATACACAAACACAGTCACACGCTCCCTCCCTCATGCTCACACATGCACATACAACCAAAGACTTACAAAAATGCACGCCGGACACTCACTCATGCTCCCCATACACACCCTATTCACTCTGGTCCCGGTACTGCTGCACAAAGGGTACAACCATCACCGGTAACCAGAGTTTGACCCTTTCTGCTGGGGTGCTGATAAGCAGTTTTTCTATTTTTCCAATTCAAGAGGATAGTTTTCTTAGCGATGCACATGACAGTCAGAACCACTTGAGCCAAAGATGTTTCAATCGGGACATCGTCCAGTTTTCCCAGTAAACAAAGAGAGGGGGTGGTTGGGATATGACATTTCAGAGACTTTGACAGGTCTTCACATACTCTACCCCAAAATTCCTGGACAGGTGAGCAGGACCACAGTGCGTGAATGTAATTGTCAGGAATGTTGTTTGTGCAGTGTGTACAGGTGTCAGACGACACAAACCCCATCTTGAACATCCGATGACCTGTATAGTGTACTCTGTGTAGAATTGTGTACTGAATTAATTGTAAATTGGGGTGTCTGATCATTTTAAAAGTTTTTAAACAAGTTTGGGACCATAAAAAAAAGGATAGATGAGGTTTGAGAAGTGAGCCACGTCTTTAGGAGAAATGAGGAACAAATATCCAGTTATTCATGTTTAAATCAAAATGCAGCTTCGATCTTGCACCAGCAGGTGGCAGAGTTGGACGTTTTAATGGGACTTATCACACTAAAGTTATAGAAAATATAAAGAAATGGTTCTGTGACATTTAGAGGCTACGGAATCCTGGATGACCAAAAAGCAAAGTGAAATTAAAATGTTCTTCCTGCTAAACGTTTGTGTCATAGTATTAAAGAGAAGCTATTTCTGACATAAACTAGAATTTGTTTTCATCTCCTTCCACCCAGGATGGACGTTCTGATGTTCCTACACTAAAGGATCTGCTGAGAACCTCTCTGGTACCTGCTGGTGTGTTTCAGCAGCGTGACTCTGTGTTTCACGCTGAAGCATCCTCCCGTTTGCTCTTCTCTGGGTTCTTCATCAGTGATGTTGTTTCCATTTTCATCCTGGATCATCATCTTTGGAGACGGCCACCAGCACCTGGCCTCACACTCCACAGTCACTCCTCTGGTGTCAGCAGGAAGCAGCGCCAACTTCAGGTCAGACGCTGCAACTGTAGAAACAAGATCAATAAAGCTGTGAGCTCTGAATGGCTCCACATGGTAGTCAGATTAAATCTGGAGCTTCTTGTTAACAGAAGCAGAAAAAAGAAGTTCTGGTTTATTAGATTAGGTTCATGAGAAGAAAACTCCTCTCTGCAGATCTTTCGTTCACATAAAGGAGCTGCGAGTATCGGTTCTGTTTACACATGAACCAGACGACGTACCAACAACCAGCTCCACGCTGCTCTCCTCTCTGGTGCCATTCTTCAGGATCTTTAGGCATCGGTACGTTCCTGCATCAGACAGCTTCACGTTGGAGATCCTTAAGGAGACATTCCCGTTTTTCATTTCTCTCATGATCAGACTGGTCCGATACTCAAAGTCCCGATCCTTCATCTCGAAGGTCTCACAGCCGTCGCGGTACAAGAAGACTACGACTGGCTTCAGGTCCTTCTTGGACCACTCCACTGTTTGGATGTCATCTGTGGCTGAGATCTTCACACTGCAGGGCAGGATCACACTCTGACCAGCAGAGGCCACGACCAGCTCAGCATGAGCGGTGGGATAAACTGGAGAATTATAGCAAAGATAGAAAATGTAGAGATTAAAACACAATCCTGAACATTTAGGATCTCAACTCCCCTCTGTTAGTTGGTCAGATTAGTTTTTTTCTCTGGGACACGGCGACAAGAGCGGATATTTGATTACCGAAGAAGTTCAAGCGAAGTCCGACCCCGCTAGCTGAACATCACTACCGAAGGTGCAGACATGTTTAGGACAGTTTGACTCTGAAGACCGCGACCCGATTTGGACATCGGGGAGGATTCTGTTTGATTTCAGAACCAAAATCGATAGTTTTTTTAAATTTTTGTTCAATATTTCTTTTCTGTGCTCGTTGGGCTTCCGTCGGGAGCTCTAAGCTGATGAGTTCTCAGCTGGTCTCAGCTTCATCATCTGTCTCAATAATGGTCAATAATCTTCCAATAAATAAAAGAAGCAGAAGAAGACAATCTTTTATAAGGTACCTCTCAAGATAAAATTCATGAGCAGCTTCACAAAAACAAACAAAAAAAATTAATTAATTAAAGTATAAAAAGATCTTAAAATGATAAAAAAATATAATAAAATATGTTTAAAAGGAAACAAGAAAAAAATGTAAGGAAATGATAGGGAAGAAAAACAATGTGCTGCCAGTTACCGCTGCATGTATGGATTGATATAACTCTTACCAAAATAAATCTTCCAGATGCTGGAGTAACTCGCTAGTTTGACTCGTTGTTTGCACTAATCCAGGATGGTGTCACGCTGCCTCCTTCACAACCCTCGACATCCTCCGGGGAAGGACCACAAACCCACTCAGGCCAACCGAACTCCACTACCCAGCATCCCCAGCACCAGTCTTCCAGCCCACGTCACCCGCCACATCTACATAAGGAAGTACAGCTCAACGCCGAACCACTCAGTCATCGTTCTAACCGAACCATGCTCCGAGTTCCGACCAGATCCAACCCGATCACTCGGCCCGTTCTGACCAGATCAGCCCCTAGCTACCCAACCTGCCAACTCAAAGTAAGTCAGCTTTGTTACCTTTTGGAGCTGCCGTGCTCTCTTGTCATTATACGGTTGCGCACCCCGGCTCCTAGATCAAACCGCATGTCAGTCTCGCCCAGGGTCAGTCACTTCGTGCTTGGGTCTAATGACACGCTACATCCCAAACTCTCGCTCTGGTTCAGCCCAGCTCAGGTTAGGCCTTACAGATGGCATGGAGGCTCTACCGGTCCACAGAGGATTTATTGTTGAAACATGGGGATCATCTGTGAGACTCTTCTCATGCATTGTTCCACAAATGTGTAATGACCTACCAAGCGCTACCAGAACAGGGGTTTCCTTTTCAATTTTCAAAGAAACTCCTGAAGACCCTGCTCTTCAGAGAGCATCTTCTAAACTAGCACCCTCCCTGCACCCGTCCTCCCTCTCTACTGTCCACTCCTTGTTCCCTCCTCTCCATGATTGATGCCAAATTGTTGTTGTTATTGTTGTTGTTAGCCTCAAGGGCAACATGCCGATTATCACTTGTAAGTCGCTTTGTGTGTGTGTGTGTGTGTGTGTGTGTGTGTGTTGTGTGAGTGTGTAAATATTGTTGCCGACTTGCTGCCTCCTGAGTCAAGCAGGCTTGTATGTAAAAGAGTTGAGACTGTTTTTAATGACCAACACAGAGGAGAAGAACAGTGTTGAGACGACTAAAGATGTGAATGAAATCTATCTTATGTCGTCCTCTGACTCCTCCACAACACAACTATTCACAATACTAGCAACAGCAACTACTGTAGAGTGAAGTAAACACTGTTCTTCACTCCCTGGAGGACATAATTAGGATTTTCTGTAATGATTTATGACAAAAGCCCTTAACAAAATGAAAAAAATGAACCAGTTCACATTTATAGATAGTAAAGTGTAGTTATACTGAATTTCTGCAATTTTAATGCCAAGTCTGGCCAATAAATTTAAATTATTTTAGATGTAATGAATCAAAAGGGTCAATTTTCACCATCTAATCGACACAGTAACCTTTCATACACGCCAGAGCTGCAAAGTCAAGGTTACGCCAGCTGGAGGATCCAGACACACAAATCAACCTTTTGCTTACTTATCGTTCCTCGACGCAGACATAAATAAACTGTCAAGGTCTCCCGCAAAAGCCCTTCTCTCTCTGCTAAAAGTCAGACTGCTGGATTCCTCACTCTGAATAAAAGTAAATCCACACAAATCCTACAAGGCTTTACTACTTATAAGTTAAATAATCATATTTGATGACTGAACAAGATGTTTAAATCAAATGTTTGAATAATCTGTGCTTCTTCTGGCACTCGCAGAGTACAGACGCTTCCCTTTTTGCTCCCTTATCTTTTTTTCCCAAGGCTCTTTGTCCTGTCTGCCCACAGAGCGCTTCTCTGCACTTCTCCTGAAAATCCCTTTTTTTTTTTAGAAATGGATCTAATTAATTGGTCATTCAATGCGATTGATAAGATTTTTTCAACGATGAGAACGGAGCAGGGGGCTCCCACTTGCCCTCAAGGGACACACCCGGTGGGGTATACGCTCGATTCCTGGAAAGAATGGAGGATCGTATGCCTCTCCCAGTTGTCCATTGACGACGTCGACGATGTGTGGATGTTTGGCCTGATGATCACTGGATTTCTTCTGATTGGAGTGGGAAGATATTTGGTTTTCTGGAAATCTGGGAAGACGGGAGCGATTGGAGGGCGACCCGCACCCACGGAAAGCACCGTCCGTGTGGAGACCTCACAGACTGGGACGTTACTCGAGGTGAATCGTAAGCTGGACAGTGTTCTAGCTGCGTTACTGGTATTAGTGCGCAAAATGGATGTCATCTCGGAGAGGGTCACCGGACGGTGTGGAGATGTTTAAAACCTGAATTGGCTTCACTGGAGGACTTGAATGATCAGTTACAGACTTGAAGGCAGAGAGGAAAATTATCTCTGCCTGACCCAAACAAAGTCTTGTCATCCGAATCTGACGCCATGGCAGCCTTGTGAATGCCACCAACAAAACCCCCACGAAGGAAGGAATGCAGCCAGATGCTGTGAAAACCCGACCTCCCCCCCCCCCCCCCCCCCCCCCCCCCCGCCTTCGGATTGGTGGACTTCAGCCTGGCTAGGTCATCCAACTGCAGGTGTCAATGTGTTCTGCGCTCCTCCCACGTTCTCCCTCCCACCTGTGGCCACAGTGGATGAGCATCATACAGGGCTGCTCTCGCTGGGGAAACAGATCCCCCCCCCCCCCCCGCCTTCCTCTAGGTGCCTCATGTTGTGAACTGTTGATGTTCGTGCTTATATATTTGAGGCGTTTTTTTGCCTAGTACAGCTACGCCCTGCCGGGAGTAACTCTGGTATGCCTTTTTTTCCCTCCCCCAATTTATCCTCATGTAATCCCCTTTACATCTAATTGAAATGAGCGCCGTTATGGCTGCTCGCGTGGTCTGCCTGTATCTGTTCTGTCTACATATGTGTGTGTAACCTTGGTCAGGCTGCGCTGCGGAGTCACGTTCCTATGCTCTGGTTCACTGTAGCGCTGGCAATAAAGCTTTTTCTGATTCTGATTCTGGTTCTAAATCAATGAAGTTGAAATGAATGTTGTTCTTACAATGATCCATTTATATCACAAATCACCATGTGTTCTATTTAACAAGTTAATCATTGTTTACACTCATACACATTAAAATAAGATACATATTAAGGTTAAAAACATTTTTGTATCTGAAGGAACGCATGGCTTTCTAGCCTTCCAGACATGGCACATTCTGATTTGCCAGAATGGGCAGAAATCATAACAAGCTAGTTTATTAAAACAGGAATTACTTCCCAAGTGATTCAGTTTCTCGCGGAGTTCTTCACTGGCCAATTCGGAACAAGCATCCTTGAGACATCTCTTTTGACATACAGTCAAAAACCTGTTTACACGTTGCAAGCCAACACAGCCAGACGGCTCCCTACGAGCCACATCCACTTTGGATGCAAACAAGCATTGCAGCTACTGTTTTGACCTGGAGACATCCCAAGACTGGACGAGTCGTATCGGAGTTTAATCTACGAAATCCTGGTGCCGTGAGGTCCACTTGACTTCTGACAGTCTGGATCTGCTGGGGGTTTGTAGACACAACAGATGCTGTTTTATTAATAATCAACTCCCTAGTTTAAAGCAGACAACAAATTATTTTACACCCAGATTTCACAATTTCTTCAGTTACAAAGATTCTGATAAACATCTAACTTACATCACACCACCTACACATAACATTCCATCACTGCATATCCACTCCATCAAATCTCATAATTCATATCTTGTCATGTATAATCATTAGTTTAGAAAAGAATAAAATTCCTTTTTAACCATATACCTGACTCTGTCTGAATCAATACGAAGTGTGTTTATGGTCCATGAACAAGCAAAGAATCCTAAACTCTTCTGGTTAAATGTTCAAAGATCAGTCTGATTGATATTTCATATCTATGCGAAATCATCACATCTTATTGCTCATAATTAATTTGTGGTCGTCACGCTATAAAGTGTGACCGCTATAAAGATAAATGGGAAAACTGTGATTCCATGCATCATGTTTACTTAACCCGCTTTCTAAGCTGTAGTATTGCCTGTTAATAATAATAATAACAATAACAATAATAATAATAATAATAATAATAATAATAATAATAATAATAATAATTCCACTGGCTTGGATTATATAGTGTTTTTCAAGACAGCCAAAGTGCTTTCCATTACGCACTCTCACGTTCACACGCTGCTACTGATGGTAAGCTACTTTGTAGCCACAGCGTTGATGAAAAAATAGTTTGTGTTTTACATCCTGTAGAGATGAAAACAAGCCTGGTGTTGCTAACGCCACTGGAATCTTTGATGTGTTCCTGTTGTTGTTAGATATGATGAGAAAGTTCCCCATCATTCTGACGTATACGACTTGGGAAAGCACAGGTGAGTTTAGCAGAGTCTTGAACATCTAACGAAAACAGCTGGGTTAAACCACAAAACCAGTAGAACCAGTTCTGTTTGTTTTCTGAATCAGATAATTAATAAAAAACAGAGTAGGTTTGTTTCCTCATTAACCATTTTAGAGACACTGATTCATAATAAAATTACCTTGATGAAAGCAGAAGAGGTCTTTGGACAAAAAAATAACTAAACACCCAAAACCTGAAATAGGTTCATTCAGCATTAAAGAGGTAACTCTACCATCCTGTAGTCACAGCCGAGGGCCACAATCAGCCCACGAGCCACA